ATTCTGACCACTTCTGTCCACTCCTGCTGTGGCCACCCTCGTCCACGCCACTGCTGTTGTTCTCCTGGACCATGACAGGAGCCACCCAAATGATGCCCCTGCTTCCACCCGGCTCCCTCCATCAGCAGCCATGATCATAATTAACATAATAAATTGCTCATCCTGATACAGTGCTCAGTACATGCCAGATACTGTTCTAACCTCTTTCCTTATATTAACCTCATTTCATTCTCATGATAACCATACAAAGTAAGTACTATTATTATCCCCATTTTGCAGATAATGAAACTGAGGCACGGAGAAATAAAATAACTTGTCCAAGATCAACCAGCTAGAAAGTGGTGGAATTGGGATTCAAAGACCAAGGAAGTCTTAACCACTAAGCTTTTAAAATACAAATCAGCTCACGGCCCTCCTCTGCTCAAAACTCTCCAGAAAGTTTTCTCCTTTCTCAGCATAAAAGCCAGTCTTTACAATGGCCTACAAGGCCTCACAGGATCTGCCTCTGCTACTTCTCCCATCCCACATCCTGCCACCCTCTCTCTTGCTGCAGCCACATTTGCTTCCTTGCTGGTCCCAGCACGTCCCTGCCTCGGGGCCTTCGCACTTGCTGTTTCCTTTGCCTAGAATGCTCCCCCCACCCAGGTCTATGCTCCGAAGACACTTTTTTTTCTTTTTAAAGATGACCGGTAAGGGGATCTCAACCCTTGGCTTGGTGTTGTCAACACCACGCTCAGCNGGCCGGCCCGAGTTTTACACATTTTGAACTTTCCAGTGTTCTCCCCACCTCCACCCTCTCCATCCACCCCCCAGTCCTCCCCTGCCCTAGGCCCAACCTGCTCCTCCTCTAGTGCTCCAGTCTTAGTGCACCCTCCACCGTCCACTCGGCTCTTTTTTTTTTTAAAGATGACCGGTAAGGGGATCTTAACCCTTGACTTGGTGTTGTCAGCACCACGCTCACCCAGTGAGCAAACCGGCCATCCCTATATGGGATCCGAACCCGGGGCCTTGGTGTTATCAGCACCGCACTCTCCCGAGTGAGCCATGGGCCGGCCCCCACTCTGCTCTTGAGCCGGGAGCCTGGGAGTTATCCTCAACTCCTCTTTCTTCCACTCCCAATCCACAGTCAGAGTTTTTCTATTTGACCTATGAAAGCTGTCCATTTCCTTTCATCTTGGTGGCCACCACCCTAGTCCAGGCCACCACCCCTCTTATCTGGGTTATCTCAACAGCCTCATGTGGTCTCCCTGCCTCCTCTGGCCCCGGGTGGTCTTCCTAAAACACAAATGTGATCATGTGACCCTCCCTCTTACACAAATCCCTACCCTTACAAGATAAAGTCAGTTCCTTCTGGCACACCCACCCCCCTCCTGACTCATCCCGAGCCTCCCACCACACTCGACTTGTGCCTTCACCTGAAACCCACCCCCTACTTTGATCCCTTGGTCTAATCCCTTGGCCTGGGATGTCCTTTCTACCTTCTCTGCATGCCCAATTCCTCTCCCTTCCTAGACCCAGCTTGAAGGTCACCTCCCTATGAAGTCTTTCCTGCTCCCCCAGCAGAATTAATTGTTCCCCACCCCACACCCCCATTGTGCTTCTGGCTCCACTCAGCTCCTCCCAGCCCAGATGAGCAAGATCACCTTGGCTGAAAAGCAGTTTGGAATCCTAATGACGGGACTTCCACCCAGTGAGCTAACCGGTCATCCCTATATGGGATCCAAATCCGTGGCCTTGGTGTTATCAGCACCGCACTCTCTTGAGGGAGCCACGAGCCAGCCCATGATGGGGCTTTCAAAAACACCTTCTGTGTATCTGGAGCTGTTGCCAGCATCCCAAGGTCAAATGGTAGAAGCATATGGCATGAGGAGGGGGAAACAGGTCTAGGGAAGGAAAGCGATCCCACATATTTGGAGCAGATCCTGTGTTCCTGCACTAAAGGCTTTGAAGATGTTACTTCATCTAATCTTCATAACATCCCTGGAAGGAAGGGATTTTTTAAAAAAGGACATTGATGTGTAAGATCTACAAAACCAATAAAAGTAGCACTTCAAAGCCGCAGGGGAAAGAAGAAATTATTCGGGAAAAGAATTTTAATAAGAAATTGGCTATGTATTTGGAAACAATCAAGTTGGATCCCTCGCATTGCATTAAAATTCCAAATGGAGAAAGACTATCATTTAAGTGAATATTTACGTGAATTTAGGGTAGGGAAGGTCTTTCTCAGCATAACACAGGAGGCAGAGATCATAAAGGAAATGCTGAGAGATTTGGCTATGTAAAATATAAGTGTTTAGTATGTTAAGATAAATAAAGGGAAAATGAAAATGAAAAACTATGAGATTTTATTAATCAATGTGTTAATAAGAAGCACAGTTATTAATATAGACTTTGTGTGTGTGTGTGTGTGTTTTATAACAGGCCTTTTTTTTTTTTTTTTTTGGCC